CTAGTAGCCAAATTTGTTAGGAGCTGATATAGAAACAAGAGCTCTGACGTATATGTGTATGTATATGTCATAATGGGAGATGTACTGACACTGACTACTTAAGTCACCCATGTTATATATATCAGAGGACCTCAGAAGCTGAATTAGGAGTCAGAGGGTTGCCAATAAACACAAAGAACAAAGAGTCAAAGAACAATAATCTCAATACATCGACAGAGCAAATACTGTAAAGCATAAAAGCTGTGTGATTCTGGTGTTAAAAGTCAATCCCTTCTCGAAAAAAAAAAAGGTCAATCCCTTCTCATCAAAATTTGGGGGAAGTCTTAGGTTCAGTTCATTTTTATTCATAAAGATGCATTTGAGCAGAATTCTTGTGGTGGCCTGCTGTAGATGAGAGCTTGTTCTTTTCGATCGGACTTCTTTTATCTGAGAACAACATGAAGCCTTCACATAATAAATTGTGGTGTCTGTACTTACGGTTACAGGCTGGTCTTTCTTTCACGATTGTTACCATTAATCAAAGGTTGTCTTCTGCACTCCTGCCTTGTCTATAGCCTCCAACTTAGGTTGATAAACAGGTGCTATCTGGGTATCCCAGTGCCATTCATTCTTCTCATCTATATCTCAGCACAGTTGTGTCTGCTGAGTACTTCTTCAATGCTAGCAGACTGGCTGGCATCCAATCTGGACAAATTGCTGATCTTCCCTGCCACTTAACATTAAATAGGGCTTCTAAGGGACATTGGACAAATAGCTCAAGAAACCAGATTCAGCATCTAAGAATTGGTTGACAATTTTTTTAAATATACAAGTCCAGGGAGTGCCTGTACTTTAAAAAACTTCCAGTTGGCTCAGAACTTGGCCTATAGTATCCTAAATTTAGACATAAAGCTATACATAATTTTGTAAATTACTAGAGATAAGACCATCTGATCCTTAAATGACCAATATATTCAACTCTAATTTAAAGATTATTGTCTCTTCAAACCATGGGATCAACATAAAGTAGGAATAAATAGAATAATTAATCTGGAACCGTATATATAAATCCATAAACAAAATACATAGCAATCTTCTACTTGTTCTAATACTTCTTTCAGCTCCCATGAACCTTCCAGGATAACTGATTTCTAGTGCTTGAAACATGGTGAGTTATTTTGAAGTATCATGAAAAGAAATAATAAAGTAATTAAATCTACCTCATGGAACTCTTGCATGCCGGCAGAGGACTTAAAATAGTGCAATACTTTCAGTGTAGGAAAACTGGTTAGAATTTTCTATTCCAGGACAGCAGCTGGCCTGAGTCGCTGAGACGAGTAGAAGGGAGTATGGTAGCCAGTCCTCAAAAGAAAGAACACGAGTATTTTGAATGTGAGCTCACAAGCATATAGCTTCGATAAGATTAAGTGTGTCCTATTAATCTTTGCGGTCCCATTGTGACCAGAGCAGCTGGTATTTAAGGGGAAGAAGATATTACTAACAGAAAATATGTTGAAAGAATGAATGAGTGTACATGATGCATGGAAGAGGTAATTGAGGGGAAAATGTACACCTAATCCCAGAAATGGGATCATGTGCATGATAATTGTACATGTATGTAACTACATGTCAGTACATGTAGATACATAAACATGTATGGTAGTAGTAAGTGTGGTAAGAATATATAGTAGGAGGATTATTAGCTGTCTCTAATGACCTAAAAGGCAGCTTGGACTTGGGAAGATGATATAGGAGAAGAAAATTAACTTGCTATTCACCTCTTCCTCTTTCCTTTTTCTGGGGCCTCTCTGGGTTTATGCCTGGAAATTCTCCTGGATTGACCCAAGACCATGAGAACTGGTTTGGCCTGGTTAATGACAATAATGCCACACTAATAGAACCTTAGCATGAGAAATTCAGCCCCTGGCCTCAACCTCAGTATCCTGAAAAGATCCAGGAGTGTCTGAAAAATTATCTCTTACATATGCAAGGAGAGAGAATTTTAAAGTATGCATCTCAAGCTGCTTGTGTTGGTTTCTCTCTGAAAGAATATTAGTTTTTTTTTCCTTTTGAATTTCTTTTCCCTTTTTAAAGAAATGTCCATCAATAATATATTCCAGGCACTAAACATTCACCCAGTGGTCTTTTAGTGAGTTTTTTTGGAGAAAAAAACAATATTCTTAGTTGAGAATGCATGCATTGATTTTTATGATGAGTTGAAAAGTTTTGTAGCTTTTTGGTAGATAAATTCAGACTTTTGGTAACTATTTTATTATCATCAGAAGAAAACTTTAATAAAATAATAAATTTTGTCTATGGTTACACAATAAAATTTCTCAATATACATTACTAAAGAAAGGGAACATCTCTGTGATGCTAATTGCTACTGAAAACACTTTTCTTCCAAACATTTGTAGAAACCAGTGATGCCCAGAGTTCAACACTGAACTTATTACATGGGTTTCGGGGGATAGACAAACAAAATTTTCTGGTGCTGAGAAAAAAAGGACAGTATATATAGAAAAAAGGTGGGAAAAACAAATAAACAGATGCATCCAAGTATAAAAATACACCATTGAACATCATGATTCTAAAAATTATCCAGGAGACCTTTGTAAACTCATTTATACTGTAGAACATGCTGAAGTAGAAGAAATTTTCTGGAAATGTAGATATGTGAAAAACTGCTATGAATCATTATTAGTATCTTCATCACTATTTATTAAAAATGTATTCATCAAATTGATTTTAAAGGCAAATACTGTGCTACGTATTAGGAATATAATAATGAACAAACCAGAAAAAATCTCACCTACCTCATAGTGAGCCTTGTAAATAGCCAATTCATTAACTGGTGAAATTTTAGTGGTTTGGGACAACTCATTTATCCCCAAATATCTCTGCCTCTCACCTGTCATAAGCAGATAGGTTTTTGTTTTTTTTTTTTTTTTTTGGCTTTTTCAGTTTTCTGTAAAGATTTTTAAGGGCCACCTGGGTGGCTCAGTAGTTGAGCATCTGCCTTTGGCTCAGGTCATGATCCCGGGGTCCTGGAATGGAGTCCCACATCAGGCTTCCCACAAGGAGCCTGCTTCTCTCTCTGACTATGTCTCTGCCTCTGCCTTTAAAAAAAAAAAAAAAAAGATTTAGAAAAATTAAGATAGTCACTCATTCATCATTCACTAATTTGTTTAAACAATATTTATAATTGTGATTATTGGTGTCAGCAAGTACTGTAGGTGCTGGGAACCCGGATGTGAAATGTAGAACCAGCACAGGTGCAGGTACAACCACATACAGTAGTCCCTCTTATCAGCAGTTTCGCTTTCCATGTTTTCAGTTACCCAGGGTCCATCGCAGTCTGGGAGTAGATGATCCTCCTTCCAACATATCTTTAGAAGGTCAATAGTAGCCTAATACTATGTCACAAGGCCTACATCATTCACCTCATTCATCTCCTCATGTAGGCATTTTATCATCTCACATCATCACCAGAAGAAGGGTGAGTGAAGTACAGTAGGATATTTTGAGAGAGAGAAACCACATTCATTCAATTTTTACCACAGTATATTATTGTAATAATTACTTCAATTTATTATTAGCTATTGTTAATCTCTTAGTGTCTAATTTATAAAATAAATTTTATCTCAGGAACCTATGTATAGGAAAGAACATAGTATATGTACAGTTCGGTACCATCCATGGTTTCTGTCATCCACTGGGGGTCTTGTGGTCTTGATATTCTCTGCAGATAAGGGACACTATTGTAAATGGATAATGTGACCCATTAAGTGCCATGATAGTGATAATGGCAGAATGAAAATGGGGATTTGTGATAGGGGCACCTAAAAGAGATTGCAGAGGAATCTCGGAAGGACCTTCTAACAGTAGACAAATCACATCAAATCTACTTTAGGAGTTTATGGGATGCAGACATGGTGGGGTGGAGTATTACAGTCAGGGGGGAAAGCATATAGGGCAGAATTGAGGGAATGTGGTCCTTTGATATTAGGCAGGTGACTTCTAAAAGCTTTTAGCTTTTAGTGCGGGGGAGAAGGTTGAGGGCAATTCATCTAGAGTGAAAAGATAGAACACAGGGTAAGGACTTTAGATAAAGGTGTGTGGGAAAGACAGGGGAAAGTGGCAATAGGGTCCTTGGAAATTAAAACATCTATTAAAGACTTTGCTGGGAGTCACCATTTGCATTGTGTATTTATTTATCCTAGAACTCCTCTGCGAAGTTATCACAAATTGTTGAATCTCCTTTAAGAAACTTGCAGTTGCATTGGGAATGAAAGCCAATAAATGATAATTTATAGCTTATAAATACATAAAGAAATTATAAGTAAATAAATAGGCTAGAATATTTCCCTCTGCTATCACTATGACCAGCGTTATTTTTAATATAATTAGTTTTCCAATAAAGCACTACATTTTATATTGTTGCACGTAATAGGAAAGGAAGCAAACCCACATTATGGAAGAAGATAACAAAATAACACCTACTATAGTGTTTCTTGGTGACTGAACGAAATGCATGAACTATCACTGTTTTAAATGCCTTTCATGGTTCAACTGTCTCAGTTACTTGGTTCCACTGAATTCTTTCTACTTCCTGGCCTCAGCAGATACACGAGGTGGTGAAGATTAGGAGCAAAAAGGAAGAACTTTTCTAAGGTTGATCAACCTTAAAATTAAGAAAAGCATTAAATTTATTTTTGTTTTGCCATTTTAATCAGTTTTATAAGCAAGTGACTTCAGTGCTCAGAAAGAAAAGTGAGTAAAGGTGTATCACCGTCTAACAAATCATCCACATTACTCTTTGTAATCTTTCTTTTGGATATATAACGGCTTGTAATGACAATGATCTTGCAGGCACTTCCCATAAGCTATATATGCATTATTAATGAAGTTCTGTGACTGGAAACTTCCATCACTGCAATGACTATTGGAAAGCATAGGTTCATTCAAAATAATAATGCATAGGGTTTGTCACAGTTTTAACTTATGTATTCTTCTTGCAGATGGTTGAAAAAGAAGGTTATCTTCAGAAAGCTAAAATTGCAGATGGTGGAAAGAAACTAAGGTAATAAAAGTTCCTTAATTCCCTTGTCCATAACTACGATAGTTCTCCATCTCCTCAACTTATGTCACTGTTGTTGTTTGGAAAAGAAGGCCCTATGATACAAGACCACAAAATTTCCCTCTGCTATTACTGTGATCAACGTTATTTTTAATATAATCATAGTTTTCCGGTAAAGCACGACATTCTATATTGTTGCATATCATATTAAATGTGGTGCTTCTTGTCCTCCCAGAACTTGAAATCTAAAAAAATGCAAATAAGTAAGATAATGGGTCTTGATGTTTGAAATTAGCAGATCAAGGGATGCGTGTTCTCATTTTGCAGTCTGTAAAAATCTCCCTACAGTACATTGGCAGCATAATTTTTGAAGACTGGGGAGTTTGAAATATATTTGCTGCTCAGATAAAAATCATTTGAGAATAATAAAAGGCAAATAAAATCATCTGTTAGATAAAAAGTTGAACTTGCCGCGTTTGGAGATGAAATGAACTCAGAGTTGGTAAGAGAAATTAGAAAAAAGAAAGTAAGAATTCCTCATGTAACAGCAACAGGAAAAACCTCGAAGGAAAAATGAGGTTGATAGAAAGGTAGAGAAAGATACTAGACATTCTCTACGGATGAGATACTTAGAAATAATCATTTCCATTTTAGGATGTTTCCTATTTCTCATATACTTACTATTATTTACTTAGCTTTGTGCTAGGTGATATGCAAGCTACAAAGATGTGTAGAAAGTGCTCAGATTGGGAGACAAGGCATTTACTTATGACTGTGTTATTAACAGTTAAAACCATAAAGGATGAATGTACTAATTAGCTACACAATGGGACACTTGTTATTGTTTAATGCAATTCATTACTGGAATGGCACTCTGGCCAACAATAGGCCATAAAGTATGCTTTTGTTTGCTGCCTGTAATGGAATATGTATATATTTGTTTAAAAGAAGTAAAACTGAAGAAAACAATTATCCATAATTCTGCTGCTTAAGAGAGCTATTTCAACTTTAAAGAATAAGTTCTGTGTTTGACTGATATTGTGTTTTATTGTGGAATAGTAAGCAGGGCCTTGAACCCCCTTCTACACTGTTTTTGTGTAGTGACCCTGCAGCCACACTCCCTTGAAGGGTCCAGGAGAAACATGAACAGGACAGAAGGTAAAACGCAAGGCTGCTGTAAGAGACTGGACTGGTCCCCACCCCATTGGACAATCTGGCTCAGGGAGTTGGACTCTGAAAGGGTGACAGGAGGATTTTTTGACTTTGGCTAACCCAGCCTAGTGTCCTCCTTTTCCTTGGACCTCATCACCAATTACACCAGCTCAAGGAATTAGCACCAAGGGTGGAGTAAGGACTCTTCCCAGGATGAATAAGTCAAGACTCTCTCTTACCTTACCAGTCATGTGCACACAAAGTCTAAAGAGGGACAGAAAAGGACCCAAGGACTTGTCTAAGTTATCACTTCTACTTTCACTGGGTCTTGGGACAGGAGAGGAGGTGAGAGCTTCTATCTTACCCTCAAGCCTCATGCATGGAAGAGGAGGAGATACTGAAAGGAATTTCAGAAAATAAAGATGGTTTTGCCCATAAATAATCCCTATATTTTTTTTTTCCTGGGAGGTGGTGTCAAGAAAAAGCTGAGGAGCAGAACAAGGCCCTTTCCCCAACTAACTCACACAAAGTACATTTTTAGGCAGTTTCAATCTGTGCGTACACCATTTTGTATTTGTTTCATTTGCCGTTACTTTAATCAGTTTGCAAATCATTTTTGTGCTCTAGTTTAAATTCATATAAACATTAGTTTGCACCCTGTTTTATTCTAATTTCAATCAGTTTGCATACAATTATCCATTCTTTCACCTTTTCTCACTTAAAGTTATATACATTTTAGTTTCCTTTTTTTTTTTTTTAATATCAGGTGCACAGAATTGAGTTGATTTTACTGTTCAATGTGTGGCCTTGCATTATCATCATTCTGGGCAAAACTCCTAGCTGGTTTTATTTTATTCTCAGTTTCTAATACTCAGTTCAATCCCCCGTAGAATGTATGTTCATCAAATCCACTCTCCATATATTCATGTGGTTATGTGTGTGGGCATTCTAGTAAATAGTGTGTAGTTGTGTGTAGGTGAATGTGTCCTAAATTGCATCAGTCCTTCTGTGTTATAAGCTTCATCCTGTTTCTTATTACTTTTATTCAGTGTTAGTGTTTGGACATGCATCTGTGTCTATATATTTAAAGTAGGTTTGTTTCCTCTAACTGCTGCCCATTTTGCCATTGTGTACATACACCAAGTTTTACTTCATCTGTCTGCACTGGACCCCTAATTGTCCCTAACTCCTTCCATCTCCTAAACAGCGTTTTAATAAGCCATACATATACGTCTCCCTATGTACCTGTTAGGTATTCCCTCTGGGGCATATACTCAGGAATGAAGAATTCCTTGGAGGTAAGATTCACACATTTATAAATCCATTGAATCCTGCTGCCAGACTTCCTCTGAATGAGTGCACCACTTCATACTCCCACAAAGCGGAAGGGAGCATGTCCCTCCATCATCTCCTCACACAGCATTATATAATTCTCAATTTTGCAAGTTGATGGCGAGAAAATGTCACTACACTATTGCATGTTGCATTTATTTTTATTCCTCTCATTGATATTTCGGTTGAGCATCACTTCATCCATGTAGAGTTAGTTAGGTGCTGCATTCTGAGAATTGCCTAGATACCGACTTTGACTATTTTCTATTGATCTTCTCACTTTATTTTTGAGACAACTCTTAATATAATTGAGATAATTGAGGTAATACCTTGTCAACTTTAGACTTTGTAAATATCTCCTCCAGGTCTCTCACTATTTACCTTGATGATGAAAGTCCTCAATACCTAAAATCTTTAACTTTGATCCATATTGTCTCATAATTGTACTCTTCATTGTTTTGGGTTTTTAAAAATAAACACTTTACAATTTGAACACTGTAGATTAATCACCATGTTTAATAACATATAATATCCCACCAGGTTGATGGCACTGTAATATATCAAATCATTCCTACACTCCTCTCTTGTTGAATTTTAAGCTGATTCCAGTCTTATACTAAAACAGTTGTAATTACAGCAAAAGTCCTATGCTTGTTAATGTGTCTTTTATTTTTGAAGATAAATGCTAAGCCTGGAATACTTGATTAAATCACATAACCTTTTTTTTTATGTTATGTATTGCCATATTGCTTGTCCAAGGAGGAGGCTTGTTTTTGTAGCTAGCAACAAAATGGTCAGTTTAATCATAACTTTTTCATCCCATTCAAAATTTAGTAACTATTAAATAATATATCATAGTTGCTATAGTTTGTATTTCTAATATAAATGTCTTTTGATTGCCTTTTGCCCACTTATCAAGGCACTTTATATCTGTTATACAATTTAATGAGTTAATAAGCACTATTGCTAAATGCTTACTCCATCAAGTACTTAGCTAAATGCTTCACCAATAATACCGAAATGATATTCTAACATAGGCTATATTATTATTTTACTTTCAATTTTACAAACGGAGAGAATTGATCCCTTGTATTAACCTCTCCTTTCTCTCAGACCTTGTTGTATATATATTTTGTATCAGATTTTAGCCCTGAGATAGGTTAGTTTTTACTCTCATGCTAGAAGTTCCTTAGAGACTGGAAGCAAAAACTATCCTTTGATTTCATACCATTAACAGTACCAAGGGCTTCAATTATCACTTAGCAAACATTATTTTATTACTCTCTATAAAGTTTTCTATTAAAAAATCCATGAGAGCTCATCCACATCATGCATTGTGTTTTTATTTTCCTTCCTTCTCCTTCTTTTCCTTTCTTTTTTTTTAATTTTTTTCTCCTTTTCCTTTTTGTTTAGCTTCCTTCTTTTATATAGTTCTTTCTTTCTAAGAATAGTTTGACCTCTCTCTGAATTTGAGCAAAAATAGGTAAAAAAAAGGAAGGAGAACTCACTGGTTATATCTTATATCCATCAAAGGCCATACATTTAGCCTTATCTTGAAATGATGTTCTATAAATTATCACGTGATACACAGACAGGATTGAAAGCATTATACATTCAGCCTCAACTTTAATTTTTTAATTGTTCACATCAAAAATATGTTTTACTTTTCTGATGAAATTTAGGAATGCCTTTGTTCTGAGACGTCCATCCGCGAAAGGAAATAGCCCAGACCTCACTGAAGCTCTGTGAGACCCTAATGAAAAGCTATTTTCAATACTTCCATTTACAAAAGACTGGACCTTGTGGACACTATCTCTCCATCTACACCTGTCACTTTCACTTCAAGCCTGCCCTTCGTCATCTCACCTGTGGCTCTGCACATCATATCACATGTAACTGGTCCCTCTGCTCTGCTCTTTGGGGGCATAGAAAGATGTACTTGGGGGTGAAAAGATGAGCAGAAGAGGCATATGGGAAGAAAAGGAGTGAAGTTGTACAGTGTGTGTGTCTACTAGTGCCCATTTTCTTCCTAGAGACCAGAACTATAAGACTTTTATTTTTGTTTTCTTTCTTTTCTTTTCTTTTCTTTTCTTTCTTTTCTTTTCTTTTCTTTTCTTTTCTTTTCTTCTTTTCTTTTCTTTTTTTCTTTTCTTTCTTTTCTTTTCTTTTCTTCTTTTCTTTTCTTTTTTCTTTTCCTTTTCTTCTCTCTCTCTCTCTCTTTTTTTTCATAGTCGTATCTCGGAACAGACTTCCTTTAGAGCATGCTGCCAAAGTACCCTGCTAAGGTGAACTTATTTTTTTTTTTTTTAGCACTTTCTAATCAGGATTCCCAACCAATTGTTCCAGACTGAATTATCTTTCTCTCCTTTTTATGCTCGGTGGTGAGGACTGGAGGGAAGTATTTGAATAGTACAGAATACAGAAGTTAAGTTGTAAACGTTTGCTTTGGTTTCAGGATTCCCATCATATGCTCTGTTATAATTTCCAATATTTGATCATTCTCTGAGCATATCAAGATT